ATTTATTATTTGTGTCAGTAATTTTTAATGTTGAGAAAATATGAAACTCTATTTTCTTTATCAATGTAGCAGTCGCATGGGCATTCAAGTTGCTATCAAAACACTTGTCTATGAAGCGATAAAGTCTAAAGCTATATCGTTTTATTGCTAACATCTCAATAATATAAGTAAAGCAAACAATGTACATATAATATAAATTCCGAGATTTGGAATATTGGGCCAATGAAGCTAAAAAGCTGATCAGACATACCATTACTCTAGAAAAAATAATACGGACTACATTGCGAATCCCTATATCCTTTTTTTAACATTTATTCAGATTAATAATTGCATTAGCATAGAGTATTTGGTAAACGTCACATATTTGTCACATATGGAGGTTTCTGCTCTCCAAACCACAACACAAACACTTCTCTGAAATATAACAATTAGTTCTCTCTATTAGTTTATGTAAGTCACTACAGGTCTTAATTAGATAAGTATACATTATGCTGTAGCCTGTGGGAATATCTGCTTGCAATATCCATTTTGAGGGTTGATGAACAGTACTTGGTCGTCGGAATTTAGAAGTGGTTTCAGGACGTAGACCCGGCCGTTTTTGGAACCCAATATACATGTGTTTTGAATGCGTGCTATCACTAGAGGCATGTGCAGTTGTCATGATGAGGTTGTAGAGAAAACATCAAGCGATCAGGGTTTTTATCTCACACAGAGCAGTTAACATTCATTTATGGAGTTCAAATTAAAACATACCCATGTAAAGTCGAATCCGGCAATTGACTTGAAAAAGTGTAGAACTCTCAATAAGTCTCAAACAATAAGACAATCTTCAATTAGTATTGTAAACGATAAGATGTTTGATTACCTTGAACTATATGAAAGAAATTATTTATTCCTTAGATTTGCTGTGTTTTCCTATTTTGATTTTAAGAATATATTTTTTGGAATAACCAAATTTTTATGTAATGCTTGCTATTTGCTTCTACTGGTTGTTCTTAAATGAAATCCATTTAATTTCAAAATCTCAATCTCTTAAATACATACATTGATCTATCTATCTCTCTTGACATTAAATTTATTGATCTATATTTATATTTTTAGCAAAAATGATTTAGGCGGTGGGGTCATATTGGATTTGGGCATTTATGCCATACAAGTATCACAATGGGCTTTTCAAGAACCACCAGTAAAGATCGTAGCTAACGGCGAAGTAAATACTGAGGGTGTTGACATCGCAGTAAATGCTGAATTACATTACACACGCAATCGTATATCAAAAATTTCGTTGAGCGGAAAGAAACAGTTGGATAATAAAGCTATTATAAAAGGTACCAAAGGTGAAATAACTGTAAGTGAAAAAAAAATCCTTAAAGCTATGTACATGTGACAGTGGGTTAAACTCAAATTATTTATTTTTAGTTAATTAATTTTTGGTGTCCTATTAAGATCATCGATATTGATGGAAAGGAACGTGAATGGGTATTGCCAAATGGCTCACATCCAACTAATTTTATGAATTCTGAAGGTTTGAGATATGAAGCGGAGGCAGTGCGTCAGGCTTTAATTAATGGTAAAATAGAAAATGAAACTGTTTCACATAATGACAGCTTGTTATTTGCTCGCATTGAAGACGAAATAAGGCAACAAGTTGGTGTGGTTTATAACGATGAAAAAGTTAATTGAAATGTCTTTTGTTATATGTCTTCAGTTTTTTTTTAACTTCTTTTGTGAAACTATCTTAACGTTTCCTTTATTAAATACAAATATTGTGATCACATTTAAAAAAAAAACCCTTTGAGAAAATGTTTATAAGATCTTATTGTTTTTATGCATGCAATGATTTTTAACTATTATTATAGTTATAAATATTTTTATAATGTATAAGTCGCTTAATTTGTGAGCTTAAAACAATATATCTTAACGATTTTTATGTATTTTATTATTAAATATATGTGCACTGTGTAAAATTTTATAAAATTGATGTTTAAAATTTTAATAAAATTGTAATTGTAAACATTGTAATTGTTAAACTTTATGTAAATAATAAAAATTAAAAAATGTAAGGAATTTTCTTTAATTGTAAGTTTAAACGCATAGTATTATAATAAGAGTTGTAAAATGCCTTTGAATCACCACCACCCTCGAGATGCAATTCCTTTTATGTTGTCTGCTCTCCAGATCACTGCGGGCTACCACAACAGCAACAATATAACAGTTAAATTAGATCATTAGAGGTTGGGCCGATAGATGAGAGATTTCACAATAATATTTTTTTTGCATTATTTCATCATAATTATTCTATTATTGTACGCATTTCTAATAATAGTATCTAATGCCTTAACATAATTTTCTTATTTCTCTATTAATATTATATATTAATACAATACTACTATTATTTTGTCTGTGTATGTATACAACTTTTAGTTTATTTTTTAAGTAATATTATGTATTTTATAATGAAATTTTTATATGCAATTCACTTTTTCACAAAGGACAGTTTAAGGTGAAAAACCTTTATCAGTTTCGTAATTTTGTTAGTTAATTTAAAGTGCTTATGTTTACATAAAAATTTCTTATCAGTTTTTTTTATAACAAAAAAATATAGTAAAATTCTAATTGCTATTTATTAAAAAAGTTTTACACCCTTCAAATAACATTAGAACTTTCTGATTGCATTTAATTAATTAATAACATGAAGATAAAAAAAAAATTTGAAGACTTATAATTTTTGAAATAATTTGTAATGTTCAGACCCATATAGCACTACATCTTCTTAATTTTATTTTAAACAAAAACAAAAAAATATATGAATAAGTGTATGACCACGAACATATAGTTATCATTTAGATGTTAAGTTCAAAATTTATGTTTATAAGTTCTTCTTCATTGTCAGAAAAGATGAGTGAACTCGGGACATAGACCCAGCCCATACTGGAACCAATAATTGTATATATATTCGATATACAAAGTAGCTGAAAAGTTTAATTTGAAAAACACGTTTTTTTTTATAAATATGATATTCTTGGAAATTAAAAAGAAAGTGAATGTATATAAGTGTATATATACATATTCTATGTTTTGTATAAGCTGTTGTCAACAAAAAAAAAAATTAACAAATGTGATCACTCACTCAAGTACCTTACTTACCCTTTTTTTTGAAAGACGCTGTATAAGTGTTGACATATAAAATTAAAGAAAAGGACGCGAATAATATTTTAGATACTGAATACTATTATTAAAACGATTTTATTTTATACTTATAAATTTTTATTTTAAGTCTAAGTTGACTTAAAATAAGCCATAATGTTGCAACTCGAATCATATACACCTCAAGTACGAAGTTATTCAAAGATACCAACAATTTAAAGAATGCAGAGGTTACATGACAGATTTTAAAACAAAAAATTAGAAATTCGATCCAATAGACGGTAAAAAAATACTATTGTTCTTGTGGTAACCCGCTCAAACCTACTTGTAAACTCTCTTTGGGGGGTGCTGAACGACACATGGCGCTTAACGCGCAAGTGTCAAGAAAAAAAATACTAATAACAAGCGCATTTCTATGGACAAATCCAGAAATTTGATTATTTATTTACTAAGCTTCCAAAAACGGCCGGAGCCACTCGTTAACCATGACGACCAAGTGCCGTTCACCATCCCCAAAGAGATTATACAAGCAGTTACAAGCGGATTACACAAGTGAATGCCTTTCCAATAGTAAGCTTTTGTTTTTGGAGATTTTAATACATTTAATACCATGATAAACCTTACAGTAGAGTTGTATCAAGTTAAAAAGATCAACTTACCAAAATTGATTAGAAAACCATTTTGCAAAATCCTTCTATAAGAGAAATACTATAGCTTACTGTCAGAATATCGTCCCTACAAATAGTTACTTAAGGAATTTATCAATAATAGTAATAGTAACGCAATAAAAGATTGCATTTTATTTGGCTGTAAGTGTTTACCTCATAGTATTGATATTTCTACAATATGAACACATTGAAAGTAGAGCCAGATCATGTAGAGATAGAATCAAAGGATCAGATAAATTTTTGCCGCAGATCATTATTTTTCTGGGTACTATTTTAATCACAATCTATTAAAATAATTTAAGGCTTTATAAAAAAGAAAAAAAATTTTTTGGACATGACTTGTTTATTAAGTTTAGAAACTGTACAGTGGAAGAAAATTGTTTCCGAAAATCCATTGGATTCTTTCTACGAAGTATATAAAATAATCTTCACAAACTTCTGATCAAATTTCAGTGTTTATTGTTTTATAAAAAATGTTAATATTAGTATTTTTATATATTGTGTCAGTAACACTAGACTGGTTAGCTGAATACAATTACTGCTATCAACACAGAGTCACAATCATGAACTTGAACTAGATGAAATTAAGTATATAAGCTTTACTCATAGAAGAGATGAAATGTAATCATCGTTACTCATAGGATAACGATCAACGCAGTTATCCGCCGTGGGCTCTCTTTCATTAGAAGCATTAGTGAGTGCCTTAGTCAACTCCTGGTCGATGTAGTCTTGCTTTAACTGAAAACTATGGATCCAGATAGACTAGTCAATAAAACTATTTATTGAAAGA